ATCTCTAAACAAGACAAGAATAGAGGGAATCTACCTCAGTATAGTAGATGCCACATATTATAAGCCAATAGCCAAATGATAAAAAATGAACACTACAAAATAGCACCTACTATCACCACTTCTGTTTAATTTAGTGTTACAGGGTTTGGCTAGAACATAAAGATGACAATAGGAAATAAAGGTAATCCAAATCGGAAAAGAAGCAAATACATCAATATTTGCAGATATGATATTACTCATAGAAAACCTTGCAGACTCACTAAAAAAGCTATGAGAAGCAATAGATGAATACAACAAAGTAGCAGATTACAAAATCTACAATCAAATGTTTATAGCATTTTTATATACAAAAAAGAAAGTAAGAAAACATATTCACTATCTTTTCAAAATGATCAAATATCTTAGAATTAATTTAATCAAGGGAGTGAAGGACTTATACAATGAGAAGTATAAGACATTATTTAAGGCGTTAGTGATAAGAATCAATATAATCAAAATGATTATCCTACCTACCTAAATTTAAGTACAGATTTGATGCTATTTACACAAAATATCAATATTCATCAAAGAAACTGTACAAAAATATTGAAAATCATATGGGACCATAAAGTGCCCTGAAATAGCAAAAGCAATCCTGAAAGGAAAAAAAAAAAAGAAATGGTGTTATCATATTACCTAACTTCAAGCTATACTATAAAACGGCAATACTAAAAATAACATTATTTTGCATAAAAACAGTCAGATTAATCAATAGACCATAATCAAAAGTCCAGAAATAAGTCCATATACCTGTCACTACTGAAGTTATCATAAAGCAGGCGTGACCAAGCAATGTAGAAAGGAAAAAAGCCTTTTTAATAAATGGGTCTGGAAAATCAGAAGGCCACAAGTGAAGTAATGAAGCTGAATCATGCTCTAATTCCACACACACACACAAAAATTATACATGGATTAAAGGTACAGGTACAAGACTTGAAATAATAAAATGTATAGAAGAAAATACTGGTTATACAGACTAACATACACACTGATGATGATGTTTTAGGAGACTGCACCTCTATGGCAAGGGAAATAAAAGCAAAACTAAGCAACTGAGATTACCTCAATTTAAAATGTTTTTGTAGAAGAAAGTATAAGTAGATTAAAAAAACAATGTTGAATGGGAGAAATTATTTATAACTTACATAACTGACAAGGGGTTAATATCCAAGTACAAAACTAACAGAATACAACAACAGGAAAACAAACAACCCAATTTATAAATGCATGGGAGGAAGAACAGACTCTTCACCAGAGAGGACAATTAGAAGGCCAAAAGAGATACGAAATAACACAGTACAAGGTCTAATTTATAAAATGTTCAAAATAGGGTCAAAGTAACTGACAATGACAGAAATTAGAAGAGTGATTATCCTGGCAGGAGGTAGTAACTGAATGGTAGGAGGTGGGGTTCCAGTCAGCATCTATTTCTTGAACCAGTAGTGATTAAATAGGTGTGATCTCTTATATGCTTGCTTAGGATTTTCACTTTAGAACCCAGCAGGTGTCTTTATGTGTATTTACACCTATGATACACTAGCAAATGCAAAAAAAAAAAAAAAATTGTAGATGTCTCAATATGACTCAACAATGGAAAAGAAAACAAAAAGGTGAATTATTTTATCAATAATAAATCCATGGAAGATTTATTAATAATGATCAATTTCATGTTTCACTTTCATTTCTTAATTTATGAAATTTTTGGATCTTTGAAAAATGAGTACTTTAAATTTGAGACCAAATTAGTAAAAGCAAAAAAGAAAGAATTCTCAATGAACATTCTGCAACACCAAAGATGTCGCCTAGAATCTTGAAATGTGGGGGCCCTGATAGTAGTATCTGCTGTGATGCCAACTAGCTTCCTTGGCCTCCCTGGTGGCACAAAGGGCTAAGTCTCAGCACTATGAAGCTATCCACAGCCACTGTCGCATAAGTTCAAACCTTAGTCTGGGAGTTGACTCACACGGCACAACAGATTTTCTTGTCTTGCCTGCTCCTCCTCCCCTCAGCAGTGTATTTCAGTCCACCTGCCTGTCTCTAGTGAATCCTCTCTAGAGATAGTACCTCTGCTACATGCTCCCAGTACCCCTGGCCTATCACAGCTCTTGGATACATAAATAAACAAATCTTTTTTAAAAAAAAGAGCAGTCCTTTATACTTAGTGGAACTGAGCATTCATTAGCTTCACTCAACTTGAATTCAAAGCACTATGTTTTGTGTAGTTCTTTGCTTAACACTTGATCAAAGGCAAACACCAGAAATATCAATATAGATGCCTAATTCTATCCTGGAGAATGGAATCATGGTGTCATCAAACATGTTAACTCTATGTTGTGTTATTTTTCTTAACAAAAGGCACAACTACCCTTTGTTACATTTTAGGTGTTCTAGTTTACCCAGAAATCTTTTCCTGAGGAAGACACATTCCAACTTAGTTCTGTCAATTTTACTACCAAATATCTCTTTAACTAATCATATTTTCTTCAACAAATTTTATCATTGTGAATAAATTTAAAAAATACATAATCTAATCTTATGTTGTATATAATTATGAGAAAGGGAAGAAGGTTGAATCACTGGGTAACTTCAAAATAAGGTAGCAGAGTTTTTTTAATGTGTCTGCTAACCATATCTACTAAGAATAAAATTATTTAGAAAATAAAATATTGTGAATATATGCAAGAGATGAAAACCAGAAGTTGCATTGTGTCTATACACATAATCTTTCTAAAAATTATATGTATGCCATTTACCTTATAGAAGAAATGGAGACTACATTTTAGCCCATTTTCCTTAAAAAAACAAACAAACAAACAAACAAACACAAAAACTTCTAATGTGTTATATTATTCAAAATTTTCCTGACCTATAACAGTAACAAAAACAAACAAAATACATAGATAAGGAATTTGAAATCAAGGTCAGACTGATGAGTCTATAAGAAATAAAAAGATAATATCACGTAATAATTAAATTCCTAATAGTAACATAGTTGTTCTCATTATGTCATCTCATCCAGGTTAGAACTACAGAAAATGAATTTCATATAACAATGAAAATTATTTCAACATGAGGAAGAACCACTTTAGGTGACAAAGGACTAAACAGAAAGCAGGTATCAAATAAGTGGTGTAAATTGTCATATTAAGTGATCTGTGAAGGCAGAATTATGGGCTTCCCTTATGTCACTACTATACGATAAGTTAACGTAGATAGGGACTTTCATTGTGAGAAAATCTAAATGTTAAATTTGAAGATCACAGTAAATGCACAAATGGGTATAAACCTTTTATAAGTGAAGCTGAAAGGAACAAGCACATAATGAACAAGTTAGAAGAGATTTCCTCTCTCACATTATGCAAATGAATTTTGTTTGTGAATTTCTATTTTTATGAGGATGATCCAATCCTCATTACGATTTTTACTATGTGAACTACAGAACTGACTGTATCTGCTTTAACAAGTATATACATATAATTACTCTGTGGAGATAATTTCAAAGTGTCAAAATATGAATTAAAACAGTGGTACTTTTTTAGGACTTCTCATATGATTCCAAAACATGTTGCTTACAGAAAGACGGCTTGGCAAAATGGATTAGAACATTTGCATGGAGCAGTTTCTAAAAAATGGTTATTCACTTGATTTTACTTAAAGTGAGGTTCTGCATCTCCCTGGTGGCCTAGAGGGTAAATCTCAGTGCTATCACTGTGATGGCCTGAGTTTGAGTCCCAGCCAGGGAGCTGACCCATACATGGCACAGCAGACCTCTCCGGTCTGGTCCCTGCTCCCCTTTGCAGTGCATTTCAGTTAATCTACCTGTTCTGCTCCTCACCCTGTCTCTGGTGAATCCTCTCACACCCTGCACCTCTGGCCTACACCCAGGTCCATTAATGCAAAAATAAATAAAATTAAAAAAAAATTAAAATGAGGTTCATATCCAGCTATATTACATAGAATTTTTTGCTGATTAAAGAGAGATATGTAGATGCATGATGTAACCAGAGTAACTTAACTGCCCCCAACATTTTCCAAGGAAAAAATTCCTCATTCCTCTGTGGTTGTGATGAAATCAAGAGTTCTTCAAATCACAAGTTGAGTTTGGACCCTGCCTGAAATAAGCAAGTTAGCTTTACTCATAGAAATCACAATCCTTGTGTTCAATGACTGTCAAGCCCACTCTTTTCTCTTAAGAGAAGTTGAAGGGTGGCTGAATTGAAGATGAAGTACAGTGCTATGAAATTGTGCTAATTTATTTCACCTTTGGACATTGTGCTAACTTACTGCACCTAATTCAGCAGAAAAAAACGAATTCTTTTCCTCTAGGAGATAAATAGGTCTCCTACCATGTTCCGGGACACACACATATGAAATGAAGTACTATGGCAAAAGATACACACAGACTAATTACATTCAATGTTTTCATCTGATAAAATACAGATTACTGCACTAAATTAACACAACCATGGGGAAATTTATTCCTTAGCTTGCTAAAAAAATAACCTGAAAAGTTATAGATGAAATTGTATCTACTGGGCCTTAATTAGAAATACAATTAAATATAAACATGCAATTTTCACCCTATGCTCTATTAATCCTTCTGCTTTCAATGATTAAACTTTTCTTCCAATAACTTTCCTGCTTGTCTTACTAATGAGGTACATTTCCTAGCCCCTCAACTTATAAAAACACAGCAAGACGCTGTTACCTTCCCTCATGACCTCTGCAGATAGCAGAGATTCCACCATTGAGATTTTTATTTCAGTAGGTTTGGATTTATACTACATGAGTGAGGAGAATTAAAATTATAGGCTATTAGAATAGTGAAATGATGGAATTTACTACTCATAGGGTTGGGACAAGTCTCTTGGCTTCTACCACCACCTACTTAGAATGATAAGAACAACCAACCAAACATGACATTCCTCACAACCAAAATGTATAGTCGGTTTTGTTTTTACCTCTGAAGAGATTATCCAAGTCAATATCTTCTTTATCTTCTTTTCCTTTGATTCTCAAACACTTTGCCTCCTGTACAAGTCTGCGCAAAGAAAAGAAATAAAATCTACATTATTATCATGTGAAGTAGGAATGCATTGCGACAGCAGCAACAATTTATCTAGAACCCAGATGGTAAACAATAGTGAATTAACGGTATTTTGCTTTACAGAGCCTTGTTTGAAATTTCCTTCTAATAAGATTTTTAAAGTACACTTTTGTTTACAAATCTAACTTTGAAACCTTCATTTTTTAAAAAAAGATTTATTTATTCATTTAGAACTGGGGTATAGGCCAGAGAGGCAGAGGGTGCGAGGATTCACCAGAGACAGAGAGGGGAGCAGAACAGGCAGATCGTTGAAGTACACTGCTGAGGGGAGCAGTGGGCGGGTCAGGAGAGGTCTGCCTGCCATCTGGATCTCCTCGGGGCAGGCGGGGCTCGAACTCAAGTGGAAGTTGTTTAAGCTTCTTAGTGCTGTGCTTTAACTCATTGGGCCACCAGGGAGGGCTGAAACCTTAATTTTTAAAAAAACTTTCTTTTCCCATCTCATTCTATGACAGTAAAGTTTCTAAAACTCCCTAGAAAATCACCTCTTCAGATTCTGAGGGGAAGCTATTTGTTATGGTAGGTGATGGTATGGTAGGTGGGTAAATAATAATTGCTACTGATGATTTTAGCACTTATTTTAATCAGAAGATTACAGATATTGTGCTCAAACAACTGGATAAAGTATTTTAGTTACATTGTTGAATGCCAAAGAATTAACTTTTGAAATGCTCTGCTATGCAGCTAAAGGAATAATTTTATAATTTTTTCATGGAACTTTATTAAAACTAGAGGCTCTTAGATTATAATGAATAGGGAACTTTCTAAAACGAACCTTTCCCAATGTTGCTAATTACACTGTAATTAATTTTACATAGATAGATAGGACTTGATATTGTTGATTGATTTATATGTATATATTTGTGAATTTGATGAAAACTGTAATACCTTTCTTTTCAAATATAATTTCTTACTGCACTGCACAGGGGCTCACAATTTCATTGTTACAACTCTGAGTGAGGCATGCAAGTATTGCTTCAATTTCTATTTTAGATGAGGAAATTGATTCAGTTACCAAAATCTTACCTAGAAGCCTAAGTGTACATAATTTGAATGGTTTTATCTATATGTTATATGAAAATTAATGTCATGATTTGAATTATCATTTGGGTATTTTTTAACCATGAAGACATTTTTAATCAAAAAAAGCAAGAAAGTGAGATTGAATTTCTATTGAAGTTTTATTTTTGTACCACTTATGCGGCATTGTGGGCCCTGTTCACTACCCATGGTGCAATGCAGAGACTAGTACACCCAGTATAGGAAAAGTTGGGTCTATGACTGAGCACTAGGTTTGTAACCCACTATACATATTTAAAGTCTAGAGGTTTCAACTTCTCAATCCAAAATGGAGACAGTACTTGCCTTACATGGTTGTTCTGAAAAATTAGTACCATATCATAAAACAGCTTACAAACTCTTATGCTTCATCAATGTAAATAAAAAATGTGTGGAATACTTTAATTAATTCAATATGCATACAATTTTAATTGTGT